TTACTTGGAATTAAATTAGACTTCTTTAAGGTACCACAGTAATCCATTCTTTAGGTGATTTCTGGTTGTATTTGGTTTTCTTTTAGAGAATCAACATTACAGAAAGAAATTGATGAAGAGAGAGCATCTTTACAGAAATCCATCAATGTTACTAGTGCCTTGATCACACAGAAAGATGAGGAACTGGAAAAACTCCGAAACGAGGTAAGTGACAACAGTGAGATGTTGCTTCATTTCAGACCGAGTTATGGCTAGGAGCATATTGAATCATAGGACAGTTAGGGTTGGAAAGGACCTTAAGATCATCCAGTCCCAACCGCCTTGCCATGGGCAGGGACACCTCACACTAAACCATCTCACCCAAGGCTTTGTCCAACCTGGCCTTGAGCACCGCCAGGGATGGAGCTTTGTGTGCTGGCTACTGAAGGGTTGGCTGATGTCTTTATTAATATAGCATATTTAAAGCTCAGCATCAGATCTCTGGGCCTGGTTAGGTGAGCTCCAGCTGTACCTGTGGGGGTTGTTCAGCCCTTGCTATGAAGGACGTTGCCCTGGTGCCCCGAGCTCATTCTGGAATGTCCGGCATTCCTCGCTGACTCTTACAGATCACGGTGCTCCGCGGGGAAAACGCCTCTGCGAAAACCCTGCAGTCAGTGGTGAAGTCGCTGGAATCTGACAAACTGCAGCTGGAGGAGAAGGTGAAGAGCTTGGAGCAAAAGCTCAAGGAGAACAACGAGCAGCCTTTAACTGTAGTGGGCTCCTCAGGTAAGAGCGGCCTCTCCACAGACTCTCTGCCTGCAGCTTTAGCCGTGTAGATTTTTGCCCCTGCTGTCAGGTGGTGAAAGGAGCCTTAACTGCAGCTGAACCTCCTGAGACAGGGACTGCCTCCTGTAGGACACACCTAAGATGTGCATGAAGGAAACCTGAAGGAGTGAAAGCTGCGCGTGAACCCCATTGACACCGGGGTGGGGTTGATCTGAATTGAAATGAATCATGTGCAGAAGCCATAAACCTTTATCCTGTTCATGGTGTGCCTTCTGTGCAAGAGCCTCTCTCAGGCTGATCCTGGGTACCATGTAGGCACCGTACCAAAACCACCTACCTGGGCACAGGATGAGACCCCTGCACTTCATCCACTCATCCTTGTCTTATGTTGAGCTTCCTGAGCCCCATCCCATCTCAGCATCAGAGGAGCATTCCCCAGTGGGTTTGTGAACCTCAGCTGTCACCTACACACACATTTTATATATTTAATAAGTAATGTGCAGTATTTAATACGCAGCAGCCAAAACAGTTCCCCCCAAAAGTCACCCTGGCCTTACAGTGAGTGATCAGAGTAGGACTAGAGATTGACGTGACTTCAGTTCTGGCTCGGGCACTGTGTGTGTCATCTTATAGCTTGGTTTTCTTTTCCTTTAAAGGTGACATTGCTGCTAATCTACTGCAAGATGAGATCGCAAAGGAGAAGCAGGTATGTGATGTGGAACAGCAGCACAAGAACCCAGCCACGCGTCTGCAGGCATGGGAGATGCTTTTCCAAAGACAGTTCCTGACAGATTCTGTAAATCAGGATGATTTATCCTGTAACCACCTGCTTCTGAAGGGAAATATGAATGACAGGGAATAATAAGAACTGAGGGATGAGGGATACTGGGGAAGGTAGCTCTGGTGACTGGAGGAGGTGAGCAGGAAAGCAGGGTGGCAGGCTCTGGTGTGCAGCCCATTGGTGGAGCTGCTCCCTGGATTCTTTCCAAGGGTTTCTTGGGTGTGAATGAGGAATGAGGTGGGAGCCACCTGAACCTGCAGTGCTGGGGAATGGGCAAGCTGAGCTCCTGCAGTTGGAAATGTTGGTCTCTGCTGCTGACCTGCAGAACTTCCCTCAGAACGAGGGTCTGTGCATGCAGTGGAGCGAGGAAGCTGCTCAGTTCACACGTGCTGGGTAACAGGAGCAATGTGTGTCAGAGTATGATCATGAACTTGTGAAGTGCTGCCACGTAACAGGCAGCCTGTGACGACGAGTGCCTAGGAGACAAGGTTGGAATAGAAGCACCTTCTGCTCGTGACTGAAGTCCTTGTTAGATCCCTGATGTCCTTCCTAGTGCGTGCAGAGATCAGAAGTCTCTAATTAACACTCACTAACCACCAATCTTTTTCTGTTTTTCTGCCTCCTTGAATTCCCCTGCTGGTGACAACCCTTCCTCCCAATCAGCACGAGGTTTGTGCCACTTCTTGGCTTCCTTTCTCGTATTCACTGTGTGAAGTTTGCATTGCTCAGTTATGTTCAGCAATGCTCTGGCTTACAGTCTCTGTGGGCGATGCTGATAGGTGTGCTGTGCTGTCCCACTGCCCCTTGGGATGGCTCCAGGGGTATCCACCAGAGCTGCAGGCTCAGGGGAGCAGGGACATGGTTCTGATCAGAATTAGACATGGGATCTGTGTTTAAAATGTACCTTAGAAAAGGAAGTCGAGCGGTCAGGGGTGGCTTGAGACCCACCAAAGGCTGTCAGAGGGGTTGGCTGGGAGGAAGAGCCTGGCTCCCTGGGTGGAAATCGTGCTGGGGGTCTTGGAGGTCCTTTGGGATGTTCCTGTGTCCTGTCTGTGGGAGCTCTGTGTAACCCAGCAGTCCAGTGGTAAGAGTTAATGCAGGGCTGTGCAGGTCAGTCTGAGGGTTACTGCTTTGTTGCTTGGTTTCTGTGAAGCAGAGTCCTCAACCTGCTGACTCCTTCTTGACTATCATAGATCGACTTCCTGAATTCAGTGATAGTGGATCTGCAGAGGAGAAACGAAGAATTAAACTTGAAAATACAAAGAATGTGTGAAGCAGCCCTCAACGGCAACGAAGAGGAGATAAATAACTACGACAGGTATAAATCCTACAGGAAACCTTGGCTTGTGTTGGGAACTGTTGGTAGCAGTCAGATTTGAGCTGCGCCAGCCTGGTGGCAGCTGCTGGGAAGGAAAATCATAGCATGCCCTTGAATTTAGCAATTGAATCCAGCCCTATTTCAGGCCCAGAATGATTCTTTGGTTATCAGTCACAAGCACTGATGTATCATAATAGGCTTGTTGTCAGTCACGGTTACGTCTGGCCATTTCCAGGTTGAGGAGGAGCATTTTTGCTCTCAGGAGTCCAGTAACTACTCTGAGAGGGGGAGATCCAGTCTGGAGAAATGGCACTAAAACCTGTCTGATGGATTGTGACCTCAGATCTGCCCTCTGAAGGGAAAGAGCAACCAGTTCGTGTGATTCTTTTCTAAACAATGTCTGTATCTGTGCAAATACACCAGCGGAGCAGTCTGTTCAGTCAGTGTCACAGTGTAAGGGGTTACGGGGTACTTGAGGTGTCTGAAGATCTTCAGAAGGGGTTTGGTGATTTATGGTCTTGCTTGACTGCTCCGGCGTTCCCCTTGGTCTCGGTAACGGGCAGGGGAGGGACTCAGGCCTTTCACCCTTATGAGCCCCCTGCCTGACTTGTGCTGGTGCCGCCCTTGCAGCGAGGAGGAAAGTTTGTCCAAGAAGAAACCGCGCCTCTTCTGCGACATCTGCGGCTGCTTCGACCTTCACGACACCGAGGACTGCCCGACGCAGGCGCAGATGCTGGAGGAGCCGCCGCACTCCGCCTACCACGGCAGCAGGAGGGAGGAGCGGCCCTACTGCGACACCTGCGAGGTGTTCGGGCACTGGACGGCCGACTGCAACGACGACGAGACCTTCTGACGGCCGGACCGAGCCCTCGGCAGCCACTGACCACCACCAGCATCGCCCTGTGCTGAAGGGCAGGGAAGGGACGACGTTTCTTGCCCCTCCCGCTCCCCTTCCCCTTGGCCCATCGGCTCCATGCTCAGTGCATTGATAACTGTTTCACTCCTCCACTACTCAGTGCCCCAGATCTCCCTTTAACAAACTTTTAAGTGGAATATAAATAAATGATTTAACAAATGACTTTATGCTGTTTCTTCCCAGGTTCTGGGTTTGTCCCCACTCTTAACAAGAAATGCCCTCGTGCTGTTGCATCTGTTGATGGGAAAACGTGTATAGGAATGAAGCACTATAGTTATATTAAAGCTTATTTAAATACCTTAAAATTATGCTGTTAATTTTCCTATTTGCACTAAACCATTTTAAGGCTGAATTTGTACATTTAGATTTTTAAGCTGTTTCTTTTTTTCTTGGACACTGGACTGCGTTTGAGAACCGTTTCCTTTGTTTTCCTTGACTCCTGTGGTTGTGATTTTGCTCAGTGAACGTGAGCTCCGGGCCGTGGTTTGGTGAATGTGAATCGTGGAGCAGGTAAGAACCGGAGCTGCTGCGGCGGGGCTGCAGCTCTGCCCCGCTCTGGTGTGGGACCCCTCATGGTTTGCATTCTTTCAGCTTCTCTCTAGCGTGTGCGTGACGTGTGTGTGTAAATATGCAGATATATATTAAAGTTATATTTTGGAGAAAAAAAGGAGGAGCTGTGTTTTCTTTCCTACCTTTTGGTGCTGTCAGGAAGGGGACGTGCTCCACGTGGGACACAGGTGACCTGTGAGTAAACAGAAAGAGAAGCCTTAGCAGCACTGAGGGATGGGAATGGCTGGCTGGAGTGTTGCTGCCTCCAAACCCCAGCCAGAAGCTTGAGGAATTAGAGGTTAAGACATTCTTTACTCTAAGGGTGGTTCCCTTAGAATCCTGCCTGATAAATGATGTTGGGTTTCCCTTTGGAAGGAAATACCTGCTGGAAAAGGCGATGCTGAAATTGCAGAGGTGTCGGGAGGAGCTGTCGTGTACAGCAGCTCTTTCCTCTCTCTGTGTGTATATACGCATGCATTCTGTAGCTGCATGAAGAGTTTTAATTGGCAGCCCCATCCCGGCCAGGCTGCACGGGGCTGGGAGCCCCCTGCCCCCTGCCAGCCCATCCCCAGACCCCACGGATTCGGTGCAGAACACGGGCTCACCCACCAGAGGGCGCTGTGCCGCCGCGCAGGCTCCGCGTTGCTCCCGTCACGTGACGCGCGTCACGTGACGGCCGCCGTCACGTGAGCTCGGCGGCGGTTCCGCGATGGCGGCGCACCTGAGCTCGGGGCGGGTGAACCTGACTGCGCTGCGCGAGGCGGGGCGGCGCGAGCTGCGCGAGTTCCTCGACAAGTGCGCGGGGAGCAAGGTGCGGGGGGGGAGGGGAGGGGTGCGGGGGGGGAGGGGAGGGGTGCGGGGGGGGAGGGGAGGGGTGCGGGGGGGGGGGAGGGGCAGCGGCGGGACCGCTCTGACCTCCCCCCGTGCTCCCTTCCTCCTCCCCCCCCCCCCCCCCCCCAGGCCATCGTGTGGGACGAGTCCCTGACCGGGCCCTTCGGGCTCATCGCGCAGTACTCGCTGCTCAAGGTAAAGGCGGGGCGGGGGGGGGCTCCGCGCCGTGCGGGTGCTGCGGCCGCTTGGAGCTGACGCGGTTCCCCCCCGCCCAGGAGCACGAGGTGGAGAAGATGTTCACGCTCAAGCCGGGCCGCCTGCCCCAGGCCGACGTCAAGAACATCATCTTCTTCGTGAGGCCGCGGCTGGAGCTCATGGACATCATCACCGACAACGTGCTCAGGTACGGCGGGCGCGGGCTGGGCCTGGAGCCGCCGCACCGGGTTTGTCACCTCTGGGCCGGAAGGAGGCTGCTCTCAGGGCTCGGGTTGGGGTGTGAGGCGCCGCAGCGGGTGTCGCTTTGGGTCGTGATGCAGGGGTCATTCCTTGCGGGCAGGCGCACGTTCCTTCGGATTAGCTGGAATGATGTGTGCTTTGATTGAAGAGAACCGCAGGAAAGACTCGCCCGGGGTTCAGTCCTGTGGGTGCACGTGGTAAACAATTCCAGGGCTAGTAGCTGAAATGGGTAACAACAGCCACATGCAGCGTTCCCGTTCCGCTGACGTTGCGTGCCCGCAGCCCATGCTCTGTGCTGTGACTCCACAGGGAGGACAGAGGCCGCTCTCCCCAGAGGGACTTCCACATCCTGTTCGTGCCGCGCCGCAGCCTGCTGTGCGAGCAGTGGCTGAAGGAGCAGGGCGTGCTGGGGTCCTTCATCCACCGCGAGCAGTACAGCCTGGACCTCATTCCCTTTGACGGGGACCTGCTCTCCATGGAGGCCGAGAGTGCCTTCAAGGTGAGCACTCGTCCGAGGAGAGCCATGCTGTGGTTTTGTGCTGTTGGGGTTCGGTCCAAAGGCCCTCAGAGGGTTTGTCAGTGACTGCGCATCAGGGACAGGCCTTGCAGAGCAGACGTGGCCTGATCCCAGTGCTGCACTGAGCCGTGGCTGCTCTCTACCGGCTGTAGCTGCCCGTGCTGTTTGCACACATTGAGCACTCGGGAGGATTAAAATACTTGGTTGTTGCAAACAGTCAGCACTGTTTGTGTCAGTGCACAGCCAGACAGCCACACATAATGGTTAATGCTGTGCTCTAAACTGCACCAAGAGCTTACAGCTGTCACGTACCAGCGGCGTGTCCTGTTCCCTCAGAATGCTGTGTCTGGGGACAGCAAGGTCCGAGAGTTTCTTTGGCCGTTGCTGACTTGTTAAGCATAGCCCAGAGGACACGCTGGGGCTTGCTGCTGCTTGTCGGTAGCTGTGGTGAGGTGCTGTGTGCTTGGATCAGCCTAGATTAGAGGGACAGACTCTCTTCCTTCTCTCCATCAAACTGGGAGTGGTATGGAGTTCAAAATCACTGCAGTATCTATCAGTGATCCGATGCAGTGACAGCACAAATAGGGTTTGTATCTGTCAACAGCCACAGTCTTTTCCCAGCCTGTGTCTCCTCTGAACTCTTCACAAGGACCACATTCTGCTGGGGAGCTGCTGTGCGAGCACCTTCCATCAGGAATCCCTCTTGTTGTGTAGGAATGTTACCTGGAGAGCGACCAGACGAGTCTGTACCACGCAGCAAAGGGGCTGATGACGCTGCAGGCTCTGTACGGAACCATCCCGCAGATCTTCGGGAAGGGCGAGTGTGCTCGGGTGAGGCAAATGGGAAATCCCATCTTGTTCTGTGGGACCGCCCCTGGGGCTTCTGAATCCAGCCAGGGACCCCTCTTGTCGTACCGGAATTTCAGGATCATGGCTGCAGGTCCAGGCCATCCCTGGCCAAAAGAACGCTCTTTGCTGTTCCAGAAGTCTTCCCATCAGGAGGATTCAGCTGTTTTCATGTGCTTTTTGCTCACAGGGGCACTGCCTTTGTGTTCTTTCTGTGGAGTTTTAACACTTGGTTGCTGGTGTCACAAGGGCTGAATGAAGTGGGAAATGTGTAACCTGCTGCCCATGCCTTGGCTTTCTCCTCTCTCCCTGTAACCCACTTCTCTCTGATCAACCCGTGGTTTAGCTGGTACCTGTCCCTGTTACATCAGATCCATCCCTGGTGGCCTGCCCCATAACCAGAGGGATGTGGTGTCTTTCCAGCACGTGGCTAACATGATGATCAGGATGAAGCGTGAGTTCCCTGGGAGCCAGAACTCGATATTTCCTGTCTTTGACACCCTCCTGTTGCTGGACCGCAACGTGGACCTGCTGACACCGCTGGCCACGCAGCTCACCTATGAGGGGCTCATAGATGAAATCTATGGGATCCAGAACAGTGAGTACTGCAGAGCAAGGGGTCCCCAGGCGGGCTGAGGAGTCTCAGGTGCCTTTCTGCTTCACTGAATGGCTCCCATGTGGGAGCAGCTCACTGGAACTTGGTGCAGGGATGGTTCAGTCCCAAGCTAGAGCTCCTAAAGATCAGCCCTGGCTCTCTTTGCACAGGAAGGGAAGGTGAGAGCAGGGTTTGGTTCCTTGTGGATGCGGGCTGGGGGCAGGCACAATGGCACGGAACATGCGGTGTGGGGGTACAGATGTTAGCGTGTGCTTCACCCTCCAGGCCGCTGAGCTCAGGTACCACACTGTGAGAACAGGAACAGTTTGTGAAAGGCTGTTCAGAGCGGTCTCTGCCTCTTCAGGAGCTACAAAGAGTAACTCCCAAGAGGCACTGATGGGTTTTATTCCCTCCTGCTGTAGCGACTGGAAGGCTGCCTCCAGGCCTTGTTGAAAGTTTGATGGTTAGCACTTGGGTTCTGATCATGTCTGTGTAGGTCTCTGAGTCCCTGGGAGAGTCTGTCCTTAATGAACCCATATGCACTGAGCTGCCTGGGAGTTTCTATTAGCTTTGCTGCTCAGGCCCGCTTCGTGCTCAGGGGACACATTTCCTTATCTTTACTTCTGCTGAAGTTCCCCTCTCTAAGGGTTATTTCTCTGTATTTGGTAGCTTATGTGAAACTCCCTCCCGAGAAGTTTGCCCCAAAGAAGCAGGGTGAGGGTGGGAAAGATCTCCCCACAGAACCCAAGAAGCTCCAGCTCAACTCTGCTGAAGAGCTCTATGCTGAAATCCGAGACAAGAACTTCAATGCCGTGGGGTCAGTGCTGAGCAAGAAAGCCAAGATCATCTCTGCAGCCTTTGAGGTGAGGCCTGGATCCGACTGTGCATCCCTTGGGCATTTTTGTTGTCAGATAAGTCACAGGCTGCATTGAGCAGGGCTGTGATCGGCAGCTCAGGCTGTTGCCATGGAGTAATCCCTCGGCCAGATCAAAACCAGGGAGTCTGTTTTAGCATCCTGGTCAATTCCACTGTTGTTGCCTGTTAAATGAAAGGTCCTTTTCCCTCTGTATTCACTGAGGATGCAGAGAAAGGGCTTTAAGAAACATCACTCCAGAATGTGCATTCGTAGAGCATTAAGCATTATCGCTGGTGTAAAAAACAACAGGAATGTGAGAGCAACACTTGCCTTCTAGGAGGTTTGATCTGGCAGTTCACACGTGTCACCTTGGATAAAGGTGGAGGGTGCTGTGGGCTGCGTCTGTGGTTTTGTTGAAAAACATGCTGTTGATGGTTCATGTCCCAGGTTTCTGCTTGCAGACTTCAAGAGGCCCTGTTACACTGTTTGATTGTGTTCCCTTGGGGTTTTTCTTTGCCTCTTCACTTTGGCCACATTTAAGACAAGGCAGTGGTACCTTAACTGAAGTAGGGCGTGCTCAGCCTCATCCCCTAGTAACTGTTATTGCAGTATTAAAGGTGAAGGTGCTAAAGATGGATTATTCATACTGGTTGTTAAAAAAAGAGGGAACTTAAACTGTCAGAGGTAATAGGTGATAATGAAGCAGTGGCACATTGGCAGCAGAGGACTCCTTCATTGCAGGCTGCGTCATTATCACCCTCCTGCCTGCACTTGCCCATTTAAATCCTCCACATGAGTCAAATGATTATTTTTATTCCAAGTTGCAGCAAGAGGCACAAATGAAACAGTCCAGAGACTGCTCTGAGAGCTGAAGTCTGCACTGTGCTTCATCAGATCCTTGCTCTAAACCTGGGACATTGTTACAGCCAGGTACAGTGAATGGCAAGCTCCTGCTCACGAGGGACACAGACCCCACCAACCCAGTTCCTCAGCACCTTTCACTACTGTTTGGGGGGGAAATGTCTCCATCTCTGAGTTCTTTTGCCTACAGCATTGTGTTTACTAGAAGCTAGCAAAGTACCTCATCTTTGCCTGAAAAAGGTAGTTTTGCTGGGAAACAGGAGCAGAGAGTGATGGCTGAAGCCTGATAAAGATGGAGAAAATCAGATGTTAGGAAGAAATTCTTTACTATGAGGGTGCTGAGGCGCTGGCACAGGGTGCCCAGAGAAGCTGTGGCTGCCCCATCCCTGGCAGCGTTCAAGGCCAGATTGGACAGGGCTTGGAGCAAGCTGCTCTAGTGGAAGGGGTCCCTGCCTGTGGTAGGGGTTGGAGCTGGATGAGATTTAAAATCCCTTCCAACCCAAACCATGATTAGAAGTGACTGACAACACTGGCAGAATGGGAAAACCCAGCCTAATGATCCTGTTCTATGTCCTCCCTCTTCTAATGAGCAAAGTGCTTTTACAGGTAATGCTGTGGCATTAGTGTAAGCATTTAAAGCATTTTGTCTAAAAGGCTGTGTCTGTCTAACAGCATCTGCTGTTGCAGTGAGTACAGTGAAAAACCTTGTGATGATACAGTGATCTCGGTGGTGTTACTGCTCTGAACAAGCCCTAACCTAAGTGATGGCTTTCTTCAGGAGCGCCACCACGCAAAGACCGTTGGAGAGATCAAGCAGTTTGTCTCACAGCTGCCACACATGCAGGCAGCAAGAAGCTCTCTAGCAAACCACACCTCCATTGCAGAACTCATCAAAGACATCACCAGTGAGTAGTCCTTCATCATCAGTGAGTGTAACAGTTGTTCTGACTCATTTCACCACAGCAAGATGCAAGACAACTTGATGGACTTTATTCAGCCTGGCAGAAATTGGCTTTGCTCCATCCAGTGCATCTCTGCTGAAATGTCAATGTAGGAAATAAGCTGTTGGTTGCTGTTCTACTGATTTTCATTCTTTTCCCAAAGCATCTGAAGATTTCTTTGATAATTTAACGGTGGAACAAGAGTTCATGTCTGGAATAGACACAGACAAGGTAAGTAGATAATGACAATTTGTGACTCTTAATGTCTTGAAAATAAAAACCCCAAACCAATGTATTTCTCTGGGTTATTTTTCCATTTGGGGTTTGGTTGTTTGTTTTTTTTGCTAGAGGAAACATCTGCTGTAGGTGATGTCTGTCTCCTTCCAGTGTCAAGGCTGGGAGCTCTCGTGTGCATCTCCTTGCACATTTGCAGTTTGAGGAATCAAGGGAAGATTGAGGACTGGTAATCAGGATTTTTTCAGTGCATCAGATAAAGTTTAGCTATTGACTGTGGAATTGTTGTGCTTCAGAGACACAGGGTGGAACCAGAGCTGGGTCACTGATATACTGGTCTTGAGGTGCCTGGAGAGCAGCTGCCCCCTCTCTCTATTTCAGAGATACTGGGCAAAACCAGATCTTTCATTCCAGGTCTTGTAGGCACTTCAATAGGTCTTTAAATAATAGCTTATGTATTTTTATTTATCTTTTTAAAAATAGGTTAACAATTACATTGAAGACTGCATAGCTCAAAAGCATCCATTAATCAAGATCCTACGCCTCGTCTGCTTGCAATCTGTGTGCAATAGTGGACTGAAGCAGAAGGTTCTGGACCATTACAAAAGAGAGATTCTCCAGGTTGGGCTGGAACTTTTGGATCCACAGATTTCTAAGAAAATCCCACCAAATCCTCAGCTCTGCTTTAAAATACATTTGTAGTTTAGACAGACCCATCTTGTACATGGGCCATGCTGACTGCCAGCGTGTGCAGAGGGAATACTGAGGCTTCTGTGTGTGCTGACAGCAATGGCTCAGGAGGTGCTGATATATTTTACAACATGTAGATACAGAGGGGTTTTACATCACTGCACTTTTTACTATCATGATTTAAACACTTCAGATTAACCGAAAAGCTTTTTAAAACTAACATCTTTGCCTTTATATTTTTTAAACACTCTGGTCATGGATTATTGACGTGCTATTAAAAGTGAATTCTTCATATTGCAGACTTATGGCTATGAACATATATTGACCTTAAACAACTTGGAGAAGGCTGGACTCCTGAAACCTCAGACAGGCGGTAGGAATAACTACCCAACAATCAGGAAAACCCTGCGCTTATGGATGGATGATGTCAATGAACAGGTAAACAGACACCTCCACAGCGAACATCACATCCAACAACACAGAATTGGGTGCAGCAGGAAAACCTGCATCTTTCTTTAATTATTACTATTTTATGGTGCTGTTTTGCATCTCACCCACTGCTCGCACTCTGCTCTCCTGCAGAACCCCAATGATATCTCCTATGTGTACAGTGGCTATGCACCGCTGAGTGTCCGCCTGGCACAGCTACTGGCTCGCCCAGGGTGGCGGAGCATAGAAGAGGTTCTGAAGATGCTGCCAGGTCCCCATTTTGAGGAGAGGCAGCAGCTACCCACTGGCCTACAGAAAAAGCGTGAGTTTTGCTTTGTTTTCCCATTTTTGAAAGGGAGATGCATGTCTGCGTGGCATGCAGGGCAATGGAGAGAAGCAAACTGAAATCAGAGTCTAGGCACCTGTCTCTTCTCCCTGTCCCAGCATTAGGTCTACCAAAGCTATTTTGGACAGATAGCTTCCTGGCCTCTTTAAAACATCCAGTCACAAACTCAGCCTGCTGTTAATGCACAGCACCATGTGCACTGAAGACAACAGAGCCATACATGTTTTAACTTCTCATGAGAGTACTTAAATAAGCCCTAACCTTACACTGTGAGTTTAATAACTAACATGACTGTGCACTCTCTAGTCTTAAGCCTGGGCAGGCAGGAGCGCATCCTCTAAAAAGACTCCAGAGCTGGGAGGAGAGTCTGCATTTCTGGGCCTAGTGCTTTGCCCAATAGGTTTCTCCTCTAATTCTAGTATCTTTATTTTAGTTTAGGTTATTTTGAGTCTGCCTGACAGTTGATGTAAAACTACAACCCATAAATGTCTCTGAACACACAGGTCAACATGGTGAGAACAGAGTCACTCTGGTGTTCTTCCTGGGAGGGGTAACATACGCAGAAATTGCTGCACTGAGATTTCTGTCCCAGATGGAAGATGGAGGCACAGAATATGTCATTGCCACTACAAAACTGATCAATGGGACAACCTGGATGAAATCCTTGATGGAAAAACTGGAGCCTGCCCCATTCTAAGGTCTGTGGTAAGAGACAGTGAAGGTGAGAGGCCCTGTGGACAAGCACATCAACTTCTGGTCTTTTGGCATGGCTTGAACATCGGGGAAACAAGACAGTGCAAGAAGCTCTCTTTGAGACCAGCTCATGATGCGGTTACCCTCATCCCTTTCTGCACTTGGGTTCCTACTGTTTGTGGAACTTCTAGTAGTCAAAGTAGCTCCTTTTGAGCTGTTTCAGAGCTGAAAGGCACTAACAGTGAAACAAACAGCTCCTGGTCTGGATTGGCAAAGAAGTGATGGGGTGGCAGGGATTGGGCCTGGTGCTTCCATTTGGCAAATTGCTGCTTTTTTTCTCCCCTTTCAGTTTATTTGCAGCAGGAAATGTGATTATTCCTTTGTTACCCTCCTAAGGTGCTGAGGAGGCAGGATGTTTTCTGTTCCTGCTGTCACACCAATATTCCCAGCTGACTCCACAATGGAAAGAGAACTCCTGTAAAGGGGAAGCAGTAACTTTTTCACTGCCTATGTTTACAAACTTCCCAGCTCCCAGGCATCCAGAATAATGCAGCTGCAGGGCACGCTTGCCCTGTGCTGGCTCTTACAAGCTGGCTGTTATGGTGACGTACCTGTAGGCCACACTCAAGTCCACTGTCCTGCACACTTTGGCCAAGACGTTTGTTGGGTTTCCTGCAGCAACAGCTAAACCTTGAACTATCCACATGCACGTCAACAACACTGACTATGAAAACAAGCAACTGCACCCAAATTATGAGGGAGATGCTTGAGCCTTTCACTGCAGTCGCCTTCTAAAGGCTTGTTTGTCCTGGGTACACCCACCTGACTCAGGAAAGCTACTCCAGGGTATAAATTACATCAGTATGTCAAAAGCTTATGTCTGAAGACACAAACACTCCCTGCATGGGACTTGGGCCAAAAATAGCTATGTCAGTGACCTAGTAAACAGTGGGTTTCAGACACTTCTTCACTCTCCCTGTTCAGTTTATAAACTGTGGAACTTGCTGCCACAAGCTATTACAGAGCTCAACATCATAAAATGGAATTTTCCATGGTCTTGGTGGCAGGGCCCCTGGCATTTCTGAGCCAGCGTGTGCTAGAGGCTGCTTCAGCTCTTGGAGACTTGGCCTTGCTAATGGCCAGGGTATGGAAAGGCAGAGCAGGCTCCTTTCTTAGGCCTGTGCAGCTGCCACTGCCAGAGCCCGGTGCTGTGCCTCAGCCCTCTCGCTCCATGGTCACCATCACTACTCACATGCTTCTCCAGCAACCACTGGGGACTGGTTTAAATAGCGAAAAACAGCTGAAAAAAACCCATCCCGCACCTTAAGTCACTCTCAGCAAACACAGCTGCTCTCAGTTATCCTGCAGAATGCACAACACATCCCGAAACCCCCTTCATTTTGCCAAGGTGTGACATTTATGACTGTGGGTTTCAGTCTTGTTTTGTAAGATTGAGTTCTGCCCAACCAGCCCCATCACAGAGCCCCTCTGTCTGTCTGACTAACTCCACTTGGCTCATTAGAACAAAATGAAAACTGTTATTTGGTCTTTTTTTGGATGCGTTTCTCTCACTGGAATACAAACCTAAATAAAATAAACCAAACCTCTGCACTGTGGTCACTGTGTCCTTCTCCCCCTGCCCCAGGATACCTGAGTTACTTGAACTGAAGCTATTTCTCTTAACAGCTCAATGCTTTTTCTTTCAGTTTACACACTAATTCCATTCTGTTCTGCAGCTGAACATACTAGCTCAGAACTACTTATGGGATTTCTTGACTTCTGAAGAAAGATAACATTTTTAATCATTTGAGACTTTAATTTCTTGCAGAAACAAAATGTGCTGCAACTTTGACAACAATGTAAGGAGCAAGCATGAGCTGCCTTGCTCTGACTTATTGCTGGAGATCCACTGTAAAGTAGCTAATTTCATAGTCTTTAAAAAGTAGGTTTGGATCAAAACTGAGATGTTACTGGGCAAAGAAGAGCAAGAAACAATGACTGAGTCAGTGCAATCCTGACAGTGTCCTTTGCTGAGCCCTGAGTGTCTGCTGTACTACCACCATTTCCAGATTTTATTCTTTTTTCTTTAATCTTAAAAACTGAACTAATCCCAAGGAAATTACAGCACTGCTCAGGCTGTTTTGTGAACTGAGGCCATAACGCATAAAAGCTACACCACAAGCAAATAAAGGAACCCATTCAAGAGCTTGCTTACCTTTTCACTTGGCCCAGCAAACGTGGTTATTTGTCACTGATACTAAATGTAAAACCTACTTTGAAGCTAACTCACACCCAACACTTGGTAAACTCTAATTTATCAATACCACTGCTGCAGATGTTCTGCAGTGTAGCCCTGCACCACCACTGAGCTGGAGCCATGCGGACACTCACCCTGAACAAAGTCTCTTCCTGGAACTCTTCAACAACAACAACACAAACTAAAAGCAATCCTGACGTTGATCAATTCTCTGGAGGAGCAATTACTTCTTAACAGGCTTCCTGAGCATCTTGATTATGTTCTGCTTCTGGCTAAGGCCTTGCTGACCACGCGGGTAATAATTTGATAACAAGAGAGCCTAATTAAATTATGGGGCCATTTTCTACATCATAATATCTTTGTGAATAAGAGATTTGATTTGCAGTACATACTCTTCCCTCTCTCTGCTGTATGCATTTGTCTGGTTTACAAGCAAAAACCATAAAGAAACCATTACCCAACCTCCACCCTGGAAGAAGTTCTCTTCTCATAGAATATTATCAGAAAACAGTTTTGTTAAAAATAAATACATAGCTTATCTCCCTCCTCCCCCCTGCTGCAAGAGTGCTCACTCTCTAAAAGGTAGAGGTGACTGGGTGTGCGGGGTTAAGGTAGATCAGTGAACTAGTGACAGTACAGTGAGCAGTGAGGCTTCAGCACTCGCTCTTGTTTGATAAGAGGCTGACTCAGTTCATAAAGGTACAGCAAGTAAAGCGCTGCTGACCTGAGATGATCCCCATGTGAGCATCCTTCTCCCTGAGCGACCTACAGGAGCACTGGGCTCTCAGAGAATGGAGCAAGAGGCACAACAGCATTCCACATAACTACAGAATGATGTGTAACTGCAGGACAAAGTATAAAGTGACACAACACTTTGCTAGAGGAAAACAAAGCATACATTTAAGCAAATGCAGTTTTGACCTGGTAACATTAAGCCGTGGTGCTTAACCTCACCAAATACTGTTCACAAAAGCACTCTGGGGAAGGGGAGCTATTTGGCATGCTCTGTTTTGCTGTGCTATGTCATATCATAACTGGTCCTGGCCACACCTAGTGCATTAGTCCTCGTGCGGGCTGCAAACACCACCTCATTACTTCTGGCTCCCGGATGAGCAGAGCAGAAAGGGATCAAACTACAGCAGAAACCCGTTAGAAGGCAGAAATTCAAGGGGCAGCTGCAGAAGAACTAGAGAGAAACAGGAACTTTACAAAGTAGAGCCCATCATCTACCAGGGTAAGCAGCTTATTTCTTTATCCACTTCTTTCTGGACAAGCAGAAACCATGTAAAGTCTATAAATAGAAAACCTGAATGCTCTGAACAACAGGAAACCATGCCTGGTTTTAAATTGCAATAGCTCCTTTGATGTATATGAGTACTTGAGCTTAGACTGAAATGACTGAACTCTTTAGTAAGACCAAAAAGTGAACTCTTTATCACAAAAGCTCTTCAAAAATATTCTAAGTATCAGAGTGGGAATTCGGTTTATTTTGCTGGTTTTACACTGTTTAGAAGAGAAATAATCCTTTCAGGTTAGCTTTATCTTAAGTCTGGTTTTAAATCCCCTTTTATGTGTTTGACCAAGAGCGTGGCTATATTTGACCAGCCACAGTTATGATCAAAATTGAAAATAATATGTAAATTGGAGAGATGGTAGAATTTTTTACGTGGGTCTTCACAGCTTTAAGTCTTGAGGAACCAAGAACTTTTGTGAAGGAGTTCAGATTTTGCATGAAACTAACAAATGAACACTCACTTCTAAAATGATGTGCAAGGATGACTTTAAGATACAGCTAGAAGACGAATTCTAAAGCATCTTATCCCATGTCTTCCATTTAAGGGTTATTTTTAACGTGAGATATAAATATTTGCCTGTGCAAACTTGTATTTAAGCCCCAGTTTTCATCCTTCTTAAACAAAAGGCTCAGTTTGTGCCAGTATCTCCATTAGATGCAATTATATCATTAAATATTAATGGTGGCTTCCTTGGAGGAATTGACCACTTTGATCAGAACACATTGCTGGTAATGCACCATCAGCAACCATTCTGAACATGAAGCTTCCCAGATGCACTGCCACTGACACAGAGGGGAAGAACCCAGGAGCCAGCTGGACTCTGTAGGGGCCTCTCCCCGTACCAACACTGCCTGTGTGTGGCTGTGCTTTAATTTGCTTCATTACCAGTCCTGATATGGAGACACTGATCAGATCCCAAACTCTTTTGCAACACTGCAGCTCAGCAGCCCCTGTACAGGGCTCTGATAAAGCACTCACAAGTACAACCTGACAGTGACAACCTCTTAAGAAGGATGGGTGGACATTACCCCTCCTGAACACAGCCATTTCTCCCCACATTAAAGCCACCCCATCCGCTCTGCAGTCTCCTTGCTCAGAAACATTCATCCTGTCCCTTTTCTCAGAGAGCAGGAGGAGCACAGAGGCAGCCAGCCCCAGAGACCCTACCTGCACAGTGCCAGGGAGAACCATGCCGGACTCCTTCACCATCCACTTCCTGAAGGTGCTGAGGGAGCTGCTGGCCTTCGTGCTCTTCAGTTACACCGTGTTGGTCGGGGCGCTGCTGCTCGCTGGATGGACAACGTACTTCTTGGTGCTTAAATGAGCCCTCTCCAAAGGGAACAGGCTCCATCGTGCAGCTCATCCTGCGCATCTGCTCATCACATGAGGTCCCTTCCTCCTGCAAGTGTTTTGTTTCATTACTGCCTAATCACAGTCTTATTTTCTTATGTAAAAACAATAAAGGTTCCCAAAGCATCTACATGCATGCATTTTACTGATCTGTGTGGCTCTTGCAGCTTCTTTGTGGCTCCTACACATTTGCCCCTGTTCCTCAAAATGTTTAAAAGCCTCCCAGCAGTTTTATCCTGAGATTCCCAGCCCATGATCTGCCTCAAGAGCACAGCAGCCTGCCAAGCACAGCGGATGGACAGGAGGGATGCAACACAATTCAAACATGACCAGTATCTCATAGGAACAAGTCCTGCCTTGTCCGACTCTGTCTCATTAAGGGTGTGAAGGCTGAGATGCAGAAATTACTTGTAATTATTTTTAGATGTTCTGGAAAAAGACATCTCAAATCAGCCAGCACAAGGTTTCCCTCTTCCTGCAGTTTTAGGAGGATATTTCATGGGGGGCACCAACACCACGCTATCCACAAGCTTATTATTTGGTGCTCTCAAGTGTGCTATGCTTTTCAGCAAATGCTTAAAACACAGAATTAGCTGAGATGTGCTTGTGATGCAGCACTGCTTGAAAGTAAACTGCACTGAATGCACTGTAACAGAGAACAGACTCTCTGCTATAAATAGAGTAGGTTCAACTGACCAAGGCTTTCATGTGGAACTATACAGGAAACCTTTGGTGGAGGAGTTGGGGATTATCACCAAGAAGCTGCGGATTATCACTGGTGTGGAACGAGCCGAAAGCAAAGCGCCGTTACATACACTTGTAAAACAAAGACAAACTGAAGGAAGGGGTGCGGAGCAGAACCTGTGTAAGCCGGTCCGTGCGATCGCGGCCCTCACTGATGACCTGACACAGCTGCGGGCCCTCAGGTGTCCCTGAGCACGGGAACACTCAGGGGCTGCCCAGCGCGACCGGCGCTGAGCCCCCAGCACCATTTGTGCCCCCCAGGGCCTGCCCCCGGGCAGGTACCGCTCCCTGCGGGGCCCAGAGACCGGAGCCTCGATCGCTCGGTCCCGCCGCGACCGCCGCTCCCCCCGGCAGCCCTCACGGCTCCAACGGCCCTCACAGCCCCACGCGCTCTCACTGCGCGCATGCGCCACGCCGTGGAAAACCACCTCCGCCCCTCCGCTGCGCGCTGACGTCACTTCCTACGCACCGCCCAGTTCCAAGATGGCGGCGGGCAGTCGGTGGCTCCGGAGCTGCTGCTCCCTGCTCAGGTACCGGCTCTGCGCGGCGAGGGTGCTTCGGTGGGGCCCAGGCGGGTGTTCAATGGGCTCCGCCGCCCGGCTCCGTCCCTGCCGCTGAGCGCCCGTTGTGACTCGCTCCAAGGCAGGCTGGAGCGGCGGCCTGAGCCACAGAGACTCGCCTCATCCGCGTCCAGCTGCCACAGCGCGGCCGGAGGAGCACAGGCTGTGGTACCCACACGGCGCTTGCCGCTGAGGGAATGTAGGTTAAGAGCCCGCAGCGTAAAAGAGGACACCAGAACAACAGCAGAAGCCTCACGGCTGAGGGTGCTCCTCTGCTCAAGTATTTCAGAGATAGGCCCTGACCCCACAGGCTAATGCACAACGTTGGATGTCAGTGAAACTGACCACAGGAGGCCCTGAGTGCACTGGGCTGCAGCAAACTATTACCAGCCATACTCCTCACCTGCGTGTACCTTGTACCACTTTTAAGCATGCTTTTTAACTTGCTTTTCAATGTTACGTAGTATTAGCAGTGTGTTGGTACCAGATAAGATACATCTGCACCTCTCAAAGGATTAATAACGTGCTAGTTACTGTGCTAATCTCTTTTCTTGCACTTATAACTAAGTAATGTAACAGAATTGAAACCAAACTTACCCATTCACTATTACATAGCTGCATTACAGAAGCTCAGGAGAGAGTGGGACACCCAGGACAGCTTCTAGGTGTTCCCTTCCTCTCCAGTACCTATTGCCCACTGCACGCTGGTTACTTCTTGTGCTTACCTTTGTTTCTTGCATTTCCAGGCGAAGCTTCCCTGCTGTGGCCAGCGTCAGGAGGCGCTGCCTCTCGGGCGTGAGCGGCCGATGGCACCAAGTGGTGGGAGTGGGGCTGGGAGTGTCCTTGTGCGCTGTCCCCATTGTGGAGGTAAGGTACCAGCAGTGGTGCGTGCAGAACCTGCTCATTACAAACAGTTTAACACTCAAAAACACTTGGCATTTTACAAAGTGCATTTTACTTGTCCTTGGAATTGTGTTCCTGCTTGGGGATCACAGGTGTTTAAGATGTGGTTGTTAAGGAGAAGAAATGAGGAAGTAACACCTTGTAAAACAGTTGTCTTGGTTTACAGTGGAAAAACAGCAGCAAGAATTGGGCTGTCCAGCCTTGTAACTAACAGTGGTGCTTTTCCTTATCGCTATTTATTGCATCCGTATGAAAGTCAGGGTAAAAGATAACACAGATATCTTTGTCTTTCAGCAGCAGAATGTGGTTTCTCTCAGCAACGATGCCTTGATTAAAAGAGCAGTTTCCTTGGTCACAGACAGCACTTCTACACTCCTCTCCCAAACAACGTACGCGCTGATTGAAGCATTGACAGAGTACACAAAGGTAAGCTGAGAGAGTGCGTGCTGTGCTAGCAAGTCAGCACTGGAAATAGTAAACTATTTGACACAGACTACACCCATTAAACCATACTTGGAATGGACTTTGGCTGTTTTATTATTTTTAATAACAGAGGCGTGGGGTTTGAAGAGGTCAGGTCTCTGGGAAACAGTGGGGTAGGGCTCCCTGTGCTGCTACACCAAACAGAGAAGTTACCTTTAGCTTTGTTAGACTGCTGCTTTGAGCTTGAACTTAAGCCAGAATGCCCCATGTCTCAGAACTGGGGTTAAAGAAACTCATAACAGGTACTGGATACCTGCATACTGAGTAAGTAGGATGCACCACCCTGTATTCTTAGGTATTTTATTTACCTTCTGTTTCCATTTCTAAGACTATGAACTTGAGTTTCATCAGAAGAATGGAGTGAGCCATATTTAAGTCTGAAATAAGAAGGTAGAGTTTTCATTTTACAAATAAGTGCCAATTTAGTAAAGTATTTGCATTCCAGTTTACCTCCTTATTAGTATGGCAAGCATATAAAGAGATGTTGAGCACAGCAGTGCTGTGGGCAGACAGCAAATACTGTCAGTGCCTCCAAAACTGCAGTGAATTCAGAACAAAGCACTTTTAGAAGCATTCAGCAATTGTACTAATACGAGTTAACACAGAGACAACATCAGAGATGTACAGATCATCATGTAACTGAAATGATTCCTTTGCAGGCAGTTTATACACTGGTGTCTCTCTACAAGCAATATGCAAACCTTCTTGGGAAGATGGATTCAGAAGAGGTGGATGCAGTTTGGCAGGTGGTGATAGGAGCCAGAGTTGATGTAAGCGTCTCCTTTCAGGCACTAATCTGCCTCTTAAAACTCTGCTCAGAAACTCCTCTCTCTTGCTCACCTTTTCAGGAAGGTGCTACTTGGAAGAGTGTTCAGATACTGTTACATCTGGTTAAGTAACGCTTTGTTTTACTCCTAGGTGAGAACAAAGCAGGAGGAATACCTAAGGCTGGAATCCAGCTGGATGACAGCGTTACGTCTTTCAGAGATGGCAGCAGAAGCTGCATATCAGTCAGGTAACACTGAGGATGTCTTTCCCCTCACATTTAGGCAGCATTTCTTGCAGGAGAATGGAGTTGAAGAGACCCAGAATATCTGTTCAGTTCACAAAGCAATTTACACCTAATGCCTGGTTTTTAGAGATGCTGAGAACTTCTTTTATTTCATTGGCTACAGATCTAGTAGATGAGTTTTGAGAACTAGGCCTGGAAACTTCACACATGGTTTAGATTAAGACCAACCATGCCAGAAAAATGTTTCAGGGAACCGTTTAGTCATTTCTAAATGCAGTGGTTCCAATATAGCCACAGAAATAAAGCTACCTAGGAGGGTCCAGCACATCTTTCCAGATGGACTCCTATTAAAGAGTGGGAATATTTGCCTCTCACTCAGGAAAGAGATGCATTTTGGTCTTTTCTCCCTGGATACACCCTTTCACAAAAAGTTTAGGACATGATAGCTCGAAAATTGAGTTATGGGTTGGCTTATGGTAAGTCAGCAAAGTTACTGGAGTGGAGAAGGGGAGAAAAGTGATGAACATACAGGGACACCCTGACTCTGTCAGGGCCTGGAAAACACCCAGGGTTTGTCAGGAGGAGAAGGCATTCTGAGTTCAGCAGTGACACAAATATTCTCACTGCTGGGAGGTGCTTGGACAAGGACTGCAGGTTCCTGGCACACAATGGCTGGGCTTAGTTCTGCAATCCACTACCGCAAGCTGATTGCTCTGATCAGACACTGGCTGTAATCCACTTGGGTGGGAAGAGTTCAAGGGGGCAAAAAATAACCTCAAAGCAGGCAAATTACTGTTGAAGGTAAATGAACAGCAAATGCATTTAGCATTAATGGAGCCCAAGAGCCATCAAAACACGTAGCAAAGCAGGTTATAATTATAGACAGGAGGTATCTTAATTGAGGGTGTGCTGAGTGTTCCTCTAGCCCTCTGTATTTAAATCATTACCTCAGGTGCAGACCAAGCCTCAGTGTCAGCCCGCAGCCACATTCAGCTGGTGAAATCACAGGTACAAGAAGTGCGACTGCTGTCCCAGAAAGCAGAGACCAAATTAGCTGAAGCTCAAACAGAAGAGCTCATCAAAGCTCAAGGAGAGGATTCTTCATTCCCAGAGGGTATTTTAGGAAGCTCAGAGGCAGGTGAGGACCCTTACCTGCGGGAGGACTGAAAAGAATTCAGATGTCACCTTGGAACATGTGAGAGTCAATCACAGATTGAAGGGTCCCAAACTTTTCAGTGTGGGATAGTGGGAAACTGCTGAAATAAGCCTGCGATTCCATTTTTCAGACAGGACTGCTTTACAGATCAGGTCAGTTCCAAGTATCTGAAAGGCCTCGATCTTGTTTGTAGCTTACTGTGTTTGTAATACTCATGGATTCAGTTATTTAAATGTTTAACTATGCAAATGTGAAGATTGCTATCAAGGATAGCTGGTTGTTAATAGTCTCTCTGCTGGGAGGGTCCTACCACTCATGTGATATGTTTGTGACAGCTCTCTTAACTTAGAGGCTAACTGGGTATCAGCCAAAGATGTATTTAAAAGTCACTATTTTTAACTTGTGAATGATGTCCCTTAGGGGGCACCTTTATTAAACTGTGCAAAAGCATCTTGTGAGTGTGCTTGTTTGGAGAAGAGATTAAGCACTATTTTCTATTGGAACTGTAACAGAGCTGAGTGACAGCTGCACTAAATTACACTAATTGCAATCAGGGGAAACATTTGCTGCAGCCCTGTGGAGTTCCCCAGGTTGCTCTTAGTTCTGCAGCTCAGTGCAGCAACTGCTTCCACCCAGAAGTCACTGCTTGGAACACAGCTGCCTCCCCCAGGAAGCAAAGGGAGAGTTGACTTTCAAGACCCTGTGGTTATTAAACAAAGTTGTCGTGGCAACTGCTGTGTACTTCTTTACAGAGCAGTGAGCAAAAGCCAGTTTTGCATGGTTGAATGCTTTCCAGCACAAGTCTCAGGAAAATCATTCTTTCCTTTTGCAAGCCTGATGTTTCAGTGCAGGCTTCAAAACCACAGGTGCCTTTCACTGTGCTCATTTTCTAACCTGACAGCTGAATGTGAAATTTGCAATATTAACTGTATAGACAATAGAAACTTAGAGCTGAGATGGATTTGTGGAACAGCATCCACTAGGACTTTCTCACTGCTGATTTGAGTCAGTTAATCCCCACTCACCAGGCTTTGTAAGAAAACACATTAATCAGGTTTTTCACCAGGAATTACCATCTCATGCACTACACCTGTGTCAAGGTTGCTGTTACTAAACTGAGTTGTGCTGGGTGCAGGTGTAGCATAAGCTTTTTATACGTGTCTCATTTTGCCTGACCTTTGAACAAATGCAATCTTAGTTGCACAATGCTGTACATTTACAGATGAAGTAGTAAAGGAATTAAACTACCTTTCCTTGTTCCTGCTCCTCGCTGGATGCTGCTGTGTCCAAGGAGGATGGCACAGTCCAGAATCCAAGCTCACAGGAAGACACCAGTGTCTGCTGTGTTGGTAGTCAGGAGGTCCTAAACACAGCTTTGGGCCAAAGCATTAGATAAAACCCAACTAGCAGGAGAGGATTATTTGCAGCAGGGGCACAACCACAGCCTCAAGAGCCAAAGGCAACTCCAGGTCAGCCTCTAACCACAGCTGTTCAATTTGTGACATGCTGCAGTTGAAGAATGGCTACCAAGCCACTGACCCAAAAGCACGTACAAGTTGTGTTCCTTTCAGGATGCCACAGTAACTGCACAGATGCTTGCATGGCATAGATACGGTTTAGTACAGATGAGCACTGCTACAGGAGTCTGCAGAGCAACTCTCTCCCTTTCAGGGCATGCTCCCAGGTCCCTGTTGCCCCAGTTGTTTGACTGTACTCCTCACTCTTACTTTCCAAGACACAGGCTGGGAAGTAAGATGTCCCACACACATCAAACCTTCAGATGTGACAGGAATCAGTTCAGTCAAGCTAAAATGGGCATGAGGAGCACAGGTGGCTTCATATTGCCTCCAAACCAAGGTGGAAAGAGTCCCACACTTTATTAGGAAGTGAAAGTTGCCTGCTGGGGGTTACCCATACAGCTAAGCCCACAACAGACATGACATCATGCTCTACGTTATGTTACTGAGTTTGCATTTGGAATCAGTGAGGGGATCAGAAAGATGCTGCTGCAGCAGTTTGGAGGGTACCATGGTACCCATTCTCCCCAGCCTTTTCTCTGGAACAAGCAGCAGTGCCCAGAAACTTGGGTTTGCTGCTGATACTCAGCCTTGTTTACAAAGCCAAGGTCATCTGAAACTACATGTAGCCAATTTCTCAGGTACAGCTCATACAGCTATTAATCCCTCTTAGGGCTGCAGTGAAAAGATACAGCAGCAGCTTGTAGGAGACCACACGGACGATGGCCACACACAGGCTCACCCCTTGGAAGAGCATTTTCAGGCAAACCCTCACACCTGGCACAGAAACAGCTTGTGTGAGAGTGGCAACTCCTGCCATGGGAGGCTGGGTCATACCATAGGGCTGAGCCAGAGCTACACCCCATGCTTCAGAAAGCCAAGGCAGCAAGAAGTGCCAGGAGTCCCTCATCCCAAGGTCACACACAAGGCCCTGCTGGAAAGCAGCACAGGCAGCCTGCCCTGAGAGCACATCACATCTCTGCTCTCCAGATACCCTTGGTCTCTCACAAGCAAGGACCTGGAAGCACTTCCCAGGCACCTCCGAAAGCGCCAGCTCACATCTGGTGGGCAGTGAGCACAGGGCAGCTGGCACCAGAGATGGTAGTGACAATAGCAAACACAAATTGCTTTGATTTGGGTAATCACACACTTCCTCTCTACCTGCTGCCTTTATCACAGAATCACATGCTGGTTTGGGCTGGAAGGGACCTCAAAGGTCATCCAGTCCCTGCCACAGCCACCTTCCATGCAACCAGGTTGCTCAAAGTCCAGGCTGCTTCCTGCCATGCACAGCAGCTTCAGATCCAGCAGCTACACACCCTGAAGCCAATAAACTTCATAGAAGTTTCACCAAATCTGAGTTTAATACTTGATGTTTCCTCAAATCAGTGACCCCAACACACAGATCAATCACTTCTGTGACAATGCATCTTAATCTGGACAGGGCAGCTGCGCACAGGAAAGGAAGCAGCAAGTATCCATTTCCACAGAACCTCATCCTCTTTAGTAGCAATGATTCTTTAATGCAAACACCCAGCACAGGATCTCAGCCCTCTCTGGCTTTTGGTGCTCCTTGCTTTCAGGAGACCCAAGAATACTCCTATGAAAACACTTTTCAAAGCTGTCTTTTATTTATACCCAACATTACAACAACAAAATACACCTCCCACACCACATGGAAAGCTACAGCCACTCTACCTACCACTGTGATTATTCAAGACATACTACTCCTCTCAAACCCAATCAGAAAGTGTTTGTGCAAAAGCTTCCAGTGCAAGGAAAAATTAACTTCTGTAAAATCCAAAGGGCTTGAGTGGTAGCCCAGTCAATGCCTTGGATCACCCTGCTGTGGAATCCATCCTTAATGCGTTTTCTTCCTCACTCCACTCCCTCCTTCTGTCCCATAGGACCTTTGGGATTGCTGGCCTGGGACAGCAGCAGACCTAGCAGCACACACTGACCTTTCCTCCACTCCTTCAAGTCATTTCAAGTGCTGTGTCACTCATTAGTCACCACGAACTTCCCGACAGGAAGCTGATCGGTGGCCAGCCACAGGTATTGGGGAGCCTCCATAGCAGGTGGCCACTCACTCACATCCCTGTGGCAGTTGTGACTTTCCCCAGCTCCAGTCTGGCTGGGAGAAACCAAGCTGAGCCCCTGCTCCATGTCCCAGCAAGCTACCGGCCCCATCCCCACCATGTGACAATTCAACTGCTCCTGTAACCCACCGACAGAAGACTTCCTGCAGACAAACCCCATGGCTCAAGTACAGTCTGTTAGTCAAGGACACGTCTCTACCACAACCTGATTTTTAGTTTAAGTACCCTGTTATCTGTCACCAGTCACAATCCTGCTGTGCTCATCAGTAGCTTCATTTCCAAACCCTTCCATAGTTCCGTGTTAAGGACACCGCACACCTGATGCTCTTGTCCTTTACCAGCGTCCACATGATCCACATGTCAGTTGGGTTTAGTCTGTGCACAACCATCAGTCCTTTGTAAAAGCATGGATCAAAAGGACTGAAAGGTCTCCGGATCCCAAAAGTCTTAAAGCCAGCATGGTTCTTTGGGGTCACTGCCATCTTTGCCAGGCACATTCCCACAAACACATCATCTATTGGGAAGAGCTCTGTGTCCTCTGCCGTGCTCTGGAGGCGGCGCACTGTCTCCCTAGACATGACATAGCCTCCTCCACCCGCATAGAGAGGATAAAAGGTGGCTGCATACATGGATGCTGGAATAAAGTATTTGACCTTGCTGTTCCTGATGGGACGGGCGTTGGCAATCACATCCCCAACAAAGAGATCCTGTTCAGGGTCTAATTCATGCAGGAACTCAACAATGTTGTAAGTGTTGACAAAGACATCATCATCACCCTTCAGCACAAACCTGGCATGCAGGCAGTCCTCCACAAACCAGCGGAGGAAATGCAGCTCCTTAAGGGTCAAGTTATAGAAGCTGTCAATAAAATCCCACTGCAAGATGTCATCAAACTCCTGGCTCTCATAAGCCAGCAGCTGGTGCAGGGGCTTTTGTACCTGGCTTTTGGGCTCTGAGTGCCCTAGAAGGAATACCAGCCTGACATGCTTGCCACCAATGGAGATCTTCCTTCCCCATGTGTTCCTGATTGCCACCCGCCGGTCCACGTTGATCGGGGAAGACTTGATGGCCAGCAAGAGGAACACCTCTTTGCTACACCTGGAAGGCTTCCGCAGGACCGAGAAGTTCCGACAGTGCTTGTATGTTAAGAAGACGCGGTGAGACTCCGGGAGGGTGAGAGAAGAATTGTCAAGAGTCAGGTTTGGCAAACAGCCATTGTCCAGAAGCACAGACTGGGGTTTGTGACTTGCTACATCCACTTTCTGGTCCTCTGACGACGCTGACAGCTTTGCCTCCTTCTTCAAGCAGAGAAAACACACCAGCAGCGTGATTGAGAAGGTGTAGAGCACGAGGGACTTCATCCTGGTGCCCATGGTGCAGAACGCAGCCCCTGCGCGGCACGCACACACAAGCCGTTATCAATGACCCCCCCACACTCACTTCCCGCTTGCCCCCGCCGCTCGGAGGGACGCGCCTCGGGCTGGTTTCGGGTCCCTCCAAGCGCTGCCGGGGAGCACGGGCGCGTTGCAGCCGCTCTGGAGCACCGGGACCGGGACCCGCTCACCGGGTGCCGCGCACACCGGCCTCGGAGCTCGGCGTTACTCCCGCCCCACTCCGCGGAGCCGCCTCCGCCGCCGAGACTCACCGGGAGCCGCCGCCGCGCCCGCATCTCCCCGGAGCTCCGCCCCCGGGCGGGATGGGCCGCGCACTGAGCACCGGGCACTGCACCCTGCACCCTGCACATGGATCAGCACCGCGCCGGCCCCCGCCGGGATGGGCCGTGCACCGAGCACCGGGCAGCGCACTGAGCACCGGGCACCGCACTCTGCACATGGCACACCCTGCATCCGTTGCACACCTCGCATTGAGCAACCACCCACCGCACTGCACACCCCGCACTGAATAACCTCCCATTGCACCCCCGGACTGACAACGCCCTGCACTGATCAACGACCTCTGCACACCCTGCAGTGCTCACACCGCACTGAACGACCACTGAATAACCCCGCATTGCACACCCACCTATTGCACATCCCCCACTTCACCCCCACCCTACATCCCTCACATTGCACACCCTACCCGCACACCACACACCCGTCCCTGCACTCTGCAGCTTCCTTGCAGAAGCTCAGCAGCAGCCCCAGACAACCACAGACAACCACAGCCCCGTGGGTATCTCCCGGCTCTGGCAATTCAGCTAAACCAGGCTCCACGTGCCGTCCCCGCAAGGTTTATTTCCCACTCACTCTTCCGCTGCTGACACATCACTGAGTGCTCCCCACTGCTGTGGCCACGCTCTCCTGGCTCTGAGCACTGGCTGCCAGGGGCCACCGAAGCAGCTGCATCTGGAACTGAACCGTCAGCGGCACTGGCTGCAGCCCTTGACCCTCCTCCAGTACACTGGAGCCTTTCTTTTTGATTTTTCCTGTGGAAAGATGTAAATCTGTCATTGTCTTGACTGAGTAAATCACCCTAAAAGCAGCAGTGCACAGCAGGGAATGCCCCTGCACCTACTTCTGGGCCTTGGGGGAAAATCTATTTGAATATGGCTTTGCGTAAGAAGCCCAAAATGCATCTTTAAGCAGGCAGTTGATTGGGTGCAATCTTGCTTTTTGTTGTTAAATTCCACTATAATTCCTAGGAAATAAGATGCAGAAATAAATCATTTCAAGGATCCTGGAAAATCAAGCACAGGATAAAATGAGACCCACGTGAGATTACTTCCGAAGACACGCTTCAATGTCCGGGCATATTGTTCGCTTGAGACAAAGCTTGCTGCCTTTCCTCTTTGAGCTGCCTGGAAGGGATCCCAATTCCTCTGAGAGGACTTATTATTTGTGTGCATTTACTGCCTGAGGGATGCAAATCAGCCCCAGCTCCCGGCTGCGAGTGCTGGTCCTTATGCAGCCTGGTTGGATGCGCAGCCACAGTGGATGGAGGGCTGGGACCCAGCCCCAGTGCCCCAAAGCGTAGCCATGGCCACAGATCCAAGGTGGTCCATGGTACCCAGGTGATGAACAAGTGCCAAACGGTGCAGTGTGGTGACTCATGGAGCAGCCAGGGCCCCCCAGCCACAATCGGGGTGTCATAGCGAGTGACAGCAGAGTGCACACTGTGGGATGCTGCTGGCGCCGGATGTCACAAGCTGGGGGAGGCAGATGGCTTTTAGGCACTGTCTGAAATAGTACTCAGTGGCCGTGCTGCAGCCAGCCTCCCCCTGCACAGGCATAAGGGGACACCAAATTAAGCATGAGCCTCTAATCACTCTGGGTTTCCTGCGTCAACAGCAGCTTTCTGTGCACCCACCACCACCCCCAGCCTCGCAACCCCTGCACAAGGGTTTGGTCTCACTCAGGCTGAAGGAACAACCTGAAGACCTCCTGCATGCACACTGACCACAGGCACTGGGGGTGGAAGGGAAGTAGAAAACACCATTGCTAAACTTCAGCTCTTTGACAGCAACTCCCTGTCATATACTGCAAATACACATTTTCTTATAGGGAACAATGACGCAGAGAGTTTTACCTTCTTTTCAGGTAGCTAGGGAGCCCATCAGGCTTTGTTGAGCACAGACACAGCCTAGGACTGCAGATGCCCCCCCGAGATGAGTAACAAGGCACAGAAAAGCAGCCTGGGGCTTTGGGGAAGGGGTTAATTTCACCCTTAAATTAGCAACTAAATCTGATGCCAGAGGAGGGGGACACAGGAGGCCTGACCAGCTCCATGCTCCCCTTGACCCATCAGCAGCTTTTCACCATTGCCCTCCCCCACTTCCTCCTGCTCTTGCATTAGCCCTCTGATGTGCTGGCACTGCTATTTTTGTAGTCAAAACAAGATTGCTGGAAAAATAACCTGCAAGAGGCAGGGTGAGGTTTGTCTCCACAGATTAAGCAATGCTGCTGGCTGAGCAGATGCTGAGCTCTGCACTGAGGAGGCAGGGGACACCCCTCAGGGGTCAGGGTGGTCTTTTCATGGGTGACAGCAGACTGGGGTCTGCTCCAAGCCCCACCATGGGGCAACCTGGTGCTTCTCTGTGCATCTCATCTCTAAACCAGAAAGAATAATCCCCTCTGCAAAGTGTTGTGAGATGTGAGTTGGAAATGGATGAGGACCTCATTATGCATCCCAGACAGCACTGGCCCCAGCTGCCCGCGCCAGCCCACACCACCAGTCACATTTGGCAGCCAACACAGCAGGCACCACATCTCTCACCCAAGAATTTGCTTTGCCCTTCTCCCCTGGCACTCAGAGCCTGTAGGTGTGTGTTGCTCCAGGACAGTTGCTCAGACTTGGATTCAACGTGTCCGGGTGTGTGTCAAACCTTACAGCCCCACAGTCAATAAATGTGTTCACAGTCCGGAGGTCAGGATGTGAGTAAGCACCCTGCTCACAGAGCTGGCAGGGTGCTGGGACCAGCCTCTGGGCTGGGCACTGCTGCTGTTTGCTCTCACACTCACCACCCTCTGCCCAGCCAGCCCCCGTCTCTGTCACCTTTGGCAGATGTTGAAGCTTTCTGTTTGGCCTGACTTTTACTCTCTGCTTTGGGGGTTTTGCTCTTGTCTTTGCTTTTCTTCTTGCCCTGTGGAGAGAGGCGTTTCCATAGTTAGGCTGTGATGAAACTCACTACCCGCATTCAGTCCTGTGACTGCCATCACCATCTGGGTTCAGTCACAGGGATTTAAAGGGCGGAGGAAAGAGGAGAGGGGAAGCAGAAGCACAGCAGAGGGGATGCTCAGAGAAGAGAATCCAAGAAATAGAAAGTGTGAGTTGGTGTGTGCTGCCACGCTGAGAGAGCATCAGAGGAAGCATGAGGGGTTGCTTTCATATTCTCAAGTGGAAAAATAAACTCACCTATTTTCCTAGGCCCAGAAAAAGTAGCAGTACTTACTGCTAAGATCAACACTAAGTAAGGATACCAGCATCAATGGATGGTGTTCAAGCAGGGCTATTTCAGCCCCATTTTATGGAGAGGAGAACTGGGGGATGCATGTGAGGGATGCCCAGGCCGGGATATGCTGATTCCCACCCTGCAGCACTGCCCATCCCTGGCAGCTCTGCCTCATGCGCCCCAGAACACGCTCCTTACCTTCTCCACACTTGGTGGCTGTGGCGGTTTTTCAGTGATCAGGATCCCAAAGTCACACAGAGCTGTCACCAGGTCCTCAGTGGCCAGCAGAGCCTCCAGGGTCACCTTCCTGGTGGCCAGGGTCTTCCGAATGGGAGGGTCACTGCGGAATTCACATGCCTTCTTCTTCTTTTTCTGCTTGTCCTTGTGCACAGGACCCTGCAGGGCACCGGCACAGGGACAAGCCTTAGTGGAGGGTTGGGGACCCTTAATCAGACAGCAAACAACCCCAGCCCAGCCCCTTGCCCATCACTGCAACCAGACCAAATGTAGAATTGCTGCTGCCTTCCTCCCACAGCAAGGGGGTACTTTGGTGAGAGATCTGGGATGGAAGGGCGGTCCTGATACACTAAACTGATCCAGGAGAAGGGTCCTTGTTCCCCCACCAGTGTTTTTGCAACTTGGATGTTATTTGGGCATCGTGCTCTCCCAGCACCTACCCTGGCACCATCCTTCTGCTGCCTCCATCCTGCCTTCTTATTTCTGTCTATGTTCTCTTCTGGATCACCTTCAACAGGCCATGAGAGCACCTGCCCGGAGAGAGGAGCTGGTGCTTTAGGGCTGGGACACCCAAGGACCCTGGCCCAGGGTCACTGGCATCCCAGGCTGCATCCCAGAGAGAACACAACACCGCTGCTGGGCCTCCCAGCAGCTCCTTCCCCTTTCATCCAGCTCTGCCACACATCCACCTTCTCCTCCACAACAGAGACAATTGTTCCAGCCGCCAGGTAGGACTTCAGCCCCATTAAGTCCTTAACAATATGCTCCTTCCTGTAGCTGCAGTCAATGGCATCTTCCCAGGGCTTTCCAGGGGTGACAAACACCTTTGCTGTGCAGGGACACAAAAAACCTCTGAGAGAGCTCTCCTTCCTGAGGACAGAAGGACCCCCAGGACATGACCAGTGCCAAATCATTATCCATCAGTCCCCTATAAGGGACATCCTGATGCCACCATATGCCAGGAAGAGCCTGAGCAGTGAGGCAGGAGACATAGAATTCCTCCTTACTAGAACTGGCCTTGGGTTCCTCTGTGGCTGCAGGCTCCTGCTGGTTCTTTGTTTCTCCTGTGTTCTGAGCAGAGCTGTCCGCATCCAAGGTGGCCCCCTCGAGACTCTCATGGATTTTTGTTACCTGGAACAGAGGGGGATCTCCTGGAAGCATGTCCAGTTGTGTTTGCATCAGGACCAGGCAGCAGAGCTCTGCATCTGGGAGGTGAAGTCCCCCTTTGCTGTGACCTACCACTGCCTGTTGCTTTCAGGTGCCCTATTAAGCACAAACCTCAGCGCTGCTGCCATCGTCAAACTCCTCTCCCTCCACAAACTCATATGTCACACAGTAGCTGTAGGTGATCACTGGGAAGTCAGAATCATCTGCCAGCTCCTGAAGAGTGCTGGGATCAGGGACTCCTTTCATGTCCCCAACACTCACAACCACTCGTGCTTCACTCCTCATCAGCTCTAAAAGGAAAGACAATCTTGCTATGAAGCTGCAGGGTGCTCCTTCCAGAGTGAAGACAGTACACAGCAAGGTGAAATCACCGATGGAAATCAGGCAAGGATGCGTCCCACCACCTGGCATCCCTCCCTGCCACCCTGTGCTAACGCTGTGACAAGCCACTGCCACGTGGGGTCACTCCAAAGCCACACAAACATCTCCTGCGTTGGTCGCCTTGCCTCCCTGGTTAACACTTCCGACTCCAAAGAGCACATATCTAGCACATAAACTCGTTAAGCAGGGGCCATCAAGAGGGGTTTCCTACCCCCGGGGTGCTCCCTGCTCTCATCCCAGTCGGGGATGTGCCACGCTGCAGAGGTGGCACTGGTTTTTGTGGACAGTGCAGCACCCATGTGAGCATCTTCCCCAGGGGCGATGTTCCTCTTTCAGCAGCTGGAGAGGAAAACACAGTCTGAAACCAGACAGTGTCTAGGAAGCAAAGATGGAGACAGACCATGGCACCAAATCGGTGCTGGGACTAGGTTGTTCTTGCAACCTTTGCACCTGACTAAGGCTAAAACTGCCTCGAGTGTAATTACACTGCTGCAGGGTCCTCTGCCTGTCTCCCCACTTGTACTAGTGGGGTAAAAGGACACAGAGAAAGATATCCATCTGAGGAGAGGCAAAAGGGAAGTCAGTACTGGATGCAGCACTTCCCCTGAGGACTCTTAGCTCAACCATGATGAAACCACCTCCCAGAACATGGAGGCAGCACAGAGAAGTTAAAGGGTGCAGACTGACCTGGCTGACTTGCCAAACCAAGGAACTGGTGCCTCTCATCAAACCCTACATGGATGTCATCAAGGACGGAGAGCTTGGGCAGGCTGTCCACAAGGAAGCCCCTGTAAGTGGGAATGAGAGCCAGCGGGTTCCCTTTCAGCACCAGGATGCGGAGCTTCTCCAGACTGGACAGCTGGGAGACCAGCCCCAGAAGATCTGTTAAGTTGTTAAAGCTCAGGTCAAGGGAGACAAGATTTGGCCTAAGGAGAGAACCCAGAGAAGAAGGTTAGGCAAAGAGCATCCAGAGAGCCGCTATCCTGGGGCAAAAAAAGAAACAAAAACTGTGTTTCCCCAGCACAAGCTGGGTCAAACTGGGGAATCCAATGGTACAATCTCAAGAGGCCAATACCAAATTCCTTAGCCATATGGTCCATTGTCAGTCTGCCCCACAACTCAAACCCATGTTTCTTTAGCATCCATGAATCACCCCACTGCATCATTTGGGGATGCAGCCTAAGCTTTAGATCCTTTCCAGGGCAGACTGCCAGCAGGCGCTTTGGGAAGGGCATGGAAAGCGTAAGCTGCCCAGTGACATGGGAACTGTGGTGGGCAGGGTGTCAAAACAGTTCCTCAGGTGATCTCCCTGTTCCACACTTTGGCCTTTCGCGAGCCCACATTCAGCCTATGGCATTACCAGAAGGCTGCAGTGAGGCACTTGTCCTGCAAAGGTCCGCACAGCCTGTTGTAGCCCAGCCCCAAGTGCTGAAGCTCCGGAGGAGGCTGAGCACACAGGTCCTGCAGATCAGCCACAGCATTGCAGCAGAGCTCCAGAACCTGTCGAGGAGAGAGAGAACAAGAAACACCCTTTGCAATGAGCTGTTCCTGACATTCCTCTGAGCAATTCAGCTTGGATTGTGTTCCCAGATGGGAACTCCTTCCTGATCCTGCCATCACAAGGGATTGCTTGCTCACCTTCAGAGTCTGGGGCAGGTTGGCCGAGTCTACCCTACTGATGTGGTTGGCACTGAGGATGAGCTCCTCCAGCTGCTGCAACTGCAACAGACCTGCATCAACCTCCTCCACCTGCAAAGAGATGGGTTTGGCCAACATGTTCCTGAGCCACCTCCTGGCCAAAGTGACACAGACATGCAGTGGTGAGCCCCATGACACGTGTAACATGGATAGTCCAATACACTGGGGATGGGGCACTAGCTCTACTCCAGCAGTAACAGTGGCATCTGGGGAGTCCCAGGGATGGGGAAGGTGTCTTTTTCCCTCCCAACAGGAAGATGTGGTTTCCTGGCCAGGAGATGGACGGCTTTACAGGCATCAGCAGCTGCACTTACTCCCTTGTCAACGAGCCGCAGGGACCTGAGGACCTGGAAGACGTTGGAGCCATGGACGAGCTTGGGCTCCAGCACGGCCACTTCCCGCAGGAGCTGGTCCTGGGGGCTGCAGCCCGGTGGCAGGGCCCAGGGGCTGTGTCTGTCCTTCAGCAGCTCTATCAGTGCCTCGGGGCTCTCCTCACCCAGTGGCACATCCTCCTCCTGCCTGGCTGGGTCTGCCCACAGCCCTGGCTGGCCTCCATGGGGGCTCCTGCGTGCAGCAAAGCGGGACTTGTTCTGCAGAGAGGGAGAGAGGAGAGGCAGTGAGAGCCCTGCAGACCGCAGACCCCAATCCACATCCATGGCTGTGTCCCCCTGGACCCTACCCAGCTGCCAAGGCCACAGGGGAAGTCCTGCAGAGTCAGGTGCCTCAGGTGCTCCTGAAGAGCAGCCGAGACACTGCAAGGACCAGGTGCTGCCATCCAGCCCCAGCCCAGCACGGAATCCCCTGGCTCAGTGACAAGAGTCCCTGTTGCTAGGAGATGGCAGGGACGTGGGCACCCTAGGGACCAAGCCCTGCAGGTGGAGTCAGCCTGGGACAGCACTGAGCTCCCCAGACTGGGAATAAACCCCTGGTTTCCTGGATATCCCCCCTTGGGTTCTGGGGGTTTCTCCCAGCCTTATGGAGCAATTGCAGGGTACAGCATCAACCCTGTCCCTTGGCCAAGGACCTGTGATACGGCGTTTGCCACCTCACTTAACTACATCCTGAGTGTCACTCAGGTTTCGGGGAGGAAGCAGCCAGGTTCTCAGTTAGCTGTAAAAATGCTGCTGTTCACTCATGTGGAGGGCACCACCATCACCACAGCAGCACAAGGCCATCAGAAAACCAGGTTCACAGCTAAAAATACCAGCTCCTACGCTAGGAAAAAGAAGGTGAGCCCCAGGAGCAAAAGCCACAGCTCTGTCCCAGGTCAGATTCAGGTCTCTGCACTCTGAGGTCTGTTTTTTGCAGTGATAAGTGTTGAGGCAATGGCTACAAATTCCAGTTTAGGGAGCCTACAGAGAAGCCTGTATCAGCAAAATTTCAACAGATGAATTGCACATGCTCTGTGGCATCTGGTGGTTACGTGATGGAAAGCTGAACTTCCACTGGGGTTGGGTTTCACAGGAGAGATGCCAATCTGCTCCCTTATCAGCTCAGCAGCTTATCAGAGCTGTGTACTGATAGGAAATGATGTGCAGGGATAGTAACATGCCATGAGGTGGAACAGCCCCGCAAATGGCCATCCTTGACTCAGTAGAAAATGAAGCCAAATCTTCTGTAGATCTTTGAAGAAGCATCAGCAGTGAATTGTGTTTTATGGAAAAGCCAAGCTCTTGTATCACTGTTACAAATAACTGGGCACCACTGGCGTTGGTGCTGCATGGAGATGTCTCCTCCTCTTGGAAGAAGAATGGCTGTGACTCCTTATCTGGTCCTCCCTGGCTGTGCCCGTCTGAGGCAGCTGGAAGGGGACTGGCAGTGTCCAATGTACAGTGGTTTCTTGTGTGTGAAAGCTCATGCACCTTCTGCACATCCTACAACGCATTTTACAACTTATCTTCCACACAGGTTACAACTCTGCTTTTTTGGTGCTTCCAAACAAGCAACCCTCCAAGATCGTCCTTCTACGTGAAAGGAGCCATCTGTACCCATCACTGTCTTCATAGAGATGTTCCTACACACCCTGCACAAAGAAACATCTTTCTCTCTTATTCATCTTTGCATCTATGACTATTTTCAGTCAACTTTTCAACAGATTTCAGAAGGTATCTTCAGATATCTTTTATGACAGAGGTGGGAAGTACAAGCGTGTATGCGTCAAATTTTCACAAAGGTATGTTCATACGAGTTTCCTCTGCCCTCCTGTGTGTCCTAAACTATCAGTATTTCTACAGGACCTCTTCTGATCACAGCCTCATACTTAAATCCTAGGAACAACTTCCCTCTGTTCTGGTGTGTATGAGAATTTCCTGCATTTAGTAGCTGGAGAAGGAAAATCACCTCGGGGGAGTTAGAGAGATGGGCGACAGAGATGGGGAGGTGGGATCCTGGACATCCTCTGCTAGGTTATGTGAGGAGGCCTCACAGACATCCAGCAAAAGGATTTCCATGGTGACCTGGAGGCCTGACCATGCCTTGCACAAAAGTCCCTCATGGCTTTTTCACTCCTCACATTAGCCCACTCTTATGCTGACCCTGCAGGAGAAGGATTCTGACTTTGGGCACCAATAATGTGCTCCAACCATGCTCTTAAAAACAACATCCGAGTTTATGTTCTAACTCTCCATTTTGGAGAGCCCAAAGGTTTAGATGGGATGGCTAAGCCAAGCATCCTGAAGTCCTAACCAGACAGATGATACAGGACACCAACCATTGTCAGTTTGAAACTGCATCTAGATCACAATCAGCAAAGACTCATTTGAAGCAAGTTTTGATGCAATCTATCAAAAAAGAAAAAACCCCAAACTATCACCCGCGAAGAAAAAAAAAAACCCATGGTGGAGCCACTGACGCAAACCTCCAGGGTACTTAAACACAGATTGGGAGGTCACATCCACAGCACTGCAGGCAACAAACAGCTCGAACGCCAGCGTCCAGCCAGCCTTCGGCCAAGTCAGCTGCAGTCCAACCCACCATGAAACACCGAACAGGTGGGTACCATTTAACCTTGCTACTTGTTGTAACGTTGGACTGGTTGGTGTTCATCATTAGCTCAGCCACTTCCTGTCGATACCTTTAGGCATTCAGTGCGCTGCACAAAAGCAGGAAGCTTTGCAAAAATGATGTAGAGGCTTGAGACTGATCATTGTGTTCTTTTCTTGTCTTCCTTCCCTTCTTTATTCGAATGAAGGGACCAACAGGTTTGCAGTCTTCCTCTTCTGTTCATTGGTTCCTTTGGGCGCCTTGGCACCAACAGCCACCTCAGAAGGAAGCAAAATTACTACAGGACAGATGCAGAAGCATTTTACTACCCAAATAAGGCCCTTAGCATGGGTGATAGAAAGGCAAGCAACTGCCTTGTTTAAGAACTACGTAAGTGTACTATTTTGCATTTGCTGTGTCTTTGTTTGTGCAGAAATCTCTTGAATTACTATAAAATACTAGAAAGATCATCAGAAGAGAAACATTTGCGTTAGAACCTAAAATAGTCTCTTCTGTGTATTCCACACACAAAAGAAGGCATTTACATTGAAGTATTTTAGGGCAGAGTTGGAGCAATGTCTAGAACAGCTGGGGAAAGTTTGAGCAACTTTGCCTCAGCTAACTGCTAGATTTGAACTTCCAGATGAAGAGCATTGCTCCTTCTTGGCTTCCTGAGTTACGTTGGGCTTGAAGCAGGCATCTGTTTTGAGGTGATCACTGGAAACATGGAGAGAATTGCTTCGCTCTTGGGTCTGATCCTAGTACTAGAGCAGTCAGGAGCGCTTCTGCTTGGCGATGGTACAATGTGCACTGAACCCAAGTGTCAATGCTTCAGACATATCTCAATTCCTGGGAACATGTTGATACAAATCAACATAAAACATTTCCCCCAAATTCATTCCTGAAATCAAAACCACCTCTGCTGAAAATGATGAAAATATGCTCAGGCCCAAGCACATCTTTGCGTGAGTAGATTTTGCCCATATGGCAAAGGAAAAAAACCAAAGCCAAGCAGGGTATTAAGACAGAAAGTGCTGCACACAGATAGTGTGCAATACCTACTCGATAAAAGGAGCGTAGGTGTTAATACAGCCATTGAACAACAACAAAGAAACCCAAGCATGCACGAACTGAAAGATAGGTGTGATGTGCCCAGACACTCAAACACAAAGCGATTACCAGGAAAGATGCAAACCTAAAGATTAATAATGTCTCTCCTTTTCCTCCCCTACAGAATACGTGTAGCCCTGTGACACCTCAAACTGCAGGCTGGCTCTCTGCTGCCTCCCAAGCCAAAGACATGGTGCAGAAGATACCCTCGTGCCCAGCTTTTGATGCAGATTGCTGCTTTTTCCATGTCTTTTACAACATTTTGCAAGACCTGAGAAGTGACATAGAATTCATCTGCGGTAAGAAGTTAACTCGGTTCATCAATGCAAACATCCGCCAGCTGAACGTGACACTGAGTGAACGAGCTGCCCTTTACACCTGCCAGAACCAGGACCTTCCACAGATGGATCGTAGCCAGGTCCAGAGGATGAAAACAGCAGACAAGAAGATGTACATCTGGCGGGTTTTAGAGAGATATGAACAGTTTATGCAGAACACAACCAAAATGTACTCTTCAGCAGAAATGTAATATACCACGATGAGGAAACTTGGCTAAATGTGACCTAGTAGTAGTGATGTGATCAGTTTGATGCCAGGAACAACAACGATCATGTATTTGCTATTCTACATATTTTAACTCTATAATCTAGTTTAGTTTAATATGTAAAGGATAAATGTCTTCAGTTATTGATCTTATTTATTATAGAACTATTTATACTGTTTTATTTGCAACAGCATAGAAAAAGGATGGAGTAATGTAAGTCAGGGTGATTTAATTAACCAATACAACATGAACAAACAGAAAAGCATGCCTGCAGTCATTTTAATGTTATTTATATTTTTATCTTGCAATTTTATCTCAGAAGTTGCCAGTAGACTAATTTTATACTTCTAAGTGAACTGCATTTATGAATTCATATAATACATCTATTTTTATACATTTATTTTAACAATTATATAGTTTATATATATTTATTCAGATTTAAAACTTTTATATTTTAATACTGAAAGGGATAAGTAATATATGTGCTACTTAATAGGTGAATGAGTTTAATAATTTTCTGTCATTAAATTCCAGGTTCTATCCCAATATAATTACAATGAGATTAAATAAAATTATTCTTGTCGGATTCTCTTCTTTTACCATGTAATTCTTCTTTACAATATTTTTTTTTGCCCTATAAACCTGGTGTTTTATTAAATAGCAAACTGAAGTAGCTATTTCTGGTCCTAATGTTACAGATGCTAGAAACAGCACATATCCTCCGTTTCCCATCCATTTTTGTTCATAGATGTGTAGTTTTGTTTCTTTAGTTCCTTAAGAAGCTGGTGTATCCTTATCCTTGTATTGGATACACCAGTGGGTAAATTGTTTTCACATCAGCCCCCACTTCTGAAGGGTGAATTATCGCTGGGTTAGCTCCACCACACCGAAACACGGCTGCTTGCATACACAGCCATACACACTGGTGTAATGGACCACATACACTGGTCCTGGAGCTGGTAACAGGACAGAGGCACTCAAACCGTCAGGGAGCAATAGAAAATGAGAAAAAAAAAATCAGTTCAAAAAAATGTAAAATTATTTAGCTATAGCTAAAAACCAATTTTATTTGAAACATCTACTTAAAAAACAAGCAAAAATTACTCTGCTTTCTGCTGCTACCCCTGTGCTCACTGGTGGTGGTTCACACAAGCAGATGGCCCTATTTATGTGCTGAATATCCAGGGAACCGCAGCTGGATTGAGCCCCTGTGTACCAGTGCTCCTCTCCGAGGCTGTGAAAAGCCCAAGGGGAGCTGGAAGTGAGAGATTTTGGTACTAATTCATCCTCTCCGTTCTCCTTT